AGTAGCAAAATTACAGTTACAAAGTATCAATTTTATGGTTTGAGGTCACTACAACATGAGGAACTGTATTAAAGGTCACAGCATTAGGGAGGTTGAGAGCCACTGCCTTAGAATCTTAATGATGTGAGCTCTACTGTCACTTAGTAACTTTACAAAGAAATTACTTAAACTAATTTTCAGAAAGTTACTATGTAATAGGGAGAGTAATATTTCCAGGAGAACATATAGGAGGAGTACATGAGATCATGTACACATATATATCTATATATACATAAATCAGGTGTTCAAAATATACTATATTTGTTTTATTTACATCATCTTCCTCCAACCACTTAGATCTAGGTATTTTAAGAACAGCTCTCAGAGCATTTCTTCCCCATCTCCCCATCAAAATAGTGAACTCTATGTCCATTTACCTTGACATACATTTCAGCAAGGGCTTATATTTATTTAGTGATCAACCATTCATTTATCTTTTACACATATGTGTAGGTGTGTGGGGGTTCATGTGTGAGCAGGCACTTGTATGTGTACAAGTGCATGTGCACACACGCCTGTCAAGGCCAGAGGCCAACCTTGGTGTTGTTTCTAAGGAACCATCCACCTTGTTTTTGAGAAAGGATCTCTCACTGGTCCTGCAGCCACTTGTAAATAATCATGCAGAGGCTTAATATTAATTACAAATTGTTTGGCCTATTGCTCAGGCTTATTACTAACTAGCTCTTATAACTTAAATTAACCCATTTCTATTAACCTATGTACTGCCACATGGCTGTGGTGTTACCAGTCTGTTTGGCATCTTGCTCCTTTGGTGGCTGAATGGCATCTCCCTGATTCTGCTCTTCTTCTCCCTGTCTCTCTGCTTGGATTTCCCACCTGGCCATTATCCTGCCTTGCCATAGGCCAAAGCAGCTTTATTTATTAACTAATGGGAGCAACACATATTCACAGCATACAGAAAGGCATCCTGCATCACCATGGCAACTCTTATAAAGGAACACATTTAATTGGGGTGGCTTGTTTACAGTTTCAGAGGTTCAATACATTATCATCATGGCAGGACTTGGTGGTATGCAGGCGGACATGGTGCTGGAAAAGGAACTGAGAGTCCTATATCTTGCAGGCAACAGGAAGTAGTCTCAGTGTCACACTGCAGGAAGCTTGAGCAAAAGAGACCTCAATGCCTGCCCCCATAGTGACACACTTCCTCCAACAAGGCCACACCTACTTCAATAAGGCCACACCTCCTAATAGTGCCACTCCTTTTAGGGGCCATTTTCTTTCAAACTACCATAGGTACTAACCTTTCCCCATCCCTCTCTCTCTCTGGTACTCAATCTGGCACTTGGAAACCTATTATTCTACTGCCTACTCCTATGAGAGCAACCATTTCAGCTTCTATATATGTGTCATTCTGTTGTCTGCCTTATTTCAGTTAACATAGTGCCCTGCAGGTTGATTCATGCCACAAATGTCAAGATTTCATTCCTTCGGGTAAATGAATAGTTCTACTGAATACAAGTACCACATTTTATTCAACAGTTGACAGATCTAATTCAATAACAAAAAGGAAAAACTGAGTAATAATTGGGCAGTAGATTGAAACACATTTCTCAAACAAATATAAAGTCTATTAGTTTGTCATTGTTGACTGTTGTGAAAAAAAATACTGACCCAAAGCACCTTTAGGAAGGGTTTATTTTGGCTCATCACTTGGAAGGAATATCACTGTGGTGGGAAAGCATGGCAATAGGAACATGAGACTGCTACTCAAACTGTTTTCCCAATCAGGAAGCAGAGCACGGTTATCTGTATTCAGATGACTTTCTCCTTTTTCTTCAGTCTGGGACCTAAGTCTACAAAATGGTGCCACACACTAGTAAGCGGCTCTATCTGCTCAACTAATCTACTCTAAATAATCTCTCACAGGCATGCCCAAGGGCTTGTCTCCTAAGTAATTCTAGATCTTACTTAGCAAGTTGACATGTTGACCACTATATGAAGAATACAAATTGCTGACCAGTATATTAAGAAATACTCAAAGTCACCAATTAGCAGGGAAATACAAATTAAAACCACAGTGAGTTATCACTTCCCAGCAGTAGGATAACAAGAATCAGAAGAAGAAAAAGAAGATGCAAGCTAACAAGTGTCAAGAAGGATGTGCAGAAAAGAGAACCCATTCCCTGGGAATGTAATTTATGACAGTCCTTATGGAAAACCAGATGGGTATTCCTGACACCTAGGTATGTATCTGAGAGAAAGCAAATCAGTATTCTAAAGAGGAGGCACCTGCATTCACATGTTTATTGTAGCACCACTCACAAAAATGGAACTTACTCTACAAGAGCAGGTGGAAGCATTGAGTACTTCACATCTTCGACCTCAGTGGGGCTCAAAAGCTAGATCCGTAATCATATCTATCATTTCCTTCATACTATAATCAAATCATTGTATTTTTCATTATACTTATACAAGCAGCTTATAATGTCTATGAGTTTTATTTCTGGTTAATTAAATGAAGCACTACAAAATGCCTAAAAGAAAGAAGCTGAGGCCTAATAGATTAAAAGCCATATATGGTGACTTACTGAGTCCTGAAACAGGAGGCCACAGAGAGAGAATACGAATCTGGTCAAGTAGAAAAGGGAAATGTTTTTCATTAGTGGTCCTCTGACTAAACAAACAGCAAAAAGAAACCTGAGGCCAGAAACTAGAAGTCAAGAAATTAAAAAATAATGGAGAAGTGGGGTTTTTTTATTTTTATTTTTTGGGTTTTTTTGTTTTTGTTTTTGTTTTGTTTTGTTTTTTTTTTGAGACAGGGTTTCTCTGTGTAGTTTTGCCCCTTTCTTGGAACTTGCTCTGTAGACCAGGTTGGCCTTGAACCCACAGAGATCCACCTGCCTCTGCCTCCTGAGTGCTGGGATTAAAGGCGTGTGCCACCACCACCCGGCGAGAAGTGGTTTATAATAAAACCAACAATCAACTGTGAATATGTAAAGCTGATTCATGCAATGATTCTATGTCTAAGTGCAAGCAGCTACAGTTTCAGATTTGAATAAGGGGTCTAAGATAGGAGATGAGAAGAAAGTCTAATTTGAATTTCAATTCCCAAAGTTTGTTAACAAGCCAGTTTTAACTTAGTAGTTCAATTTGTTACATAAAGTCTATGAACCACTTAACATTGCTCAAAAAGTCAGTGAGGGGCTGGAGAGGTGGCCCACCAGTTACAGCACATATTGCCCTTGCAGAGGACCCACATCTGGTTCTCAGCACCCTGTCTGGGGAGCTTACAACCACCTGTAACTCCAGCTCCAGATGATCCAACACTTTCCTCTGGCCTCTGTGGCACCTGCACTCATATACACACACCCACATGCATATATACAAAATTAAAATAAAATAAATCTTGTAAATATGTCAGAGAGAAAGGCCACAATACTAAAGACTTCAGTCTTGAAGAAACTCTATCAGTAATAAGCCTCCATCTCTGCTCAGGAGTGCCAATGAGAAAAACATGAGAGCCACTGAAAAGAAATACAGGATAGCTCAACCCTTTGACTCTAAGTGGGAAGTCACTGCCCCTAAGTATCTTGGCCAGGGACTTAGGGTTGCTTTCAATTGGGTACTTTTTGAAAAGAAACACTGAGAGCTATTTGGCCAAAACTCTGATATTTGATGCTTATATGTCATACTATAATTAGTTTATCCTTTGGAAATACAGCCTGTGAAGATACAGCAAATATGATTTTGGTTTCTCCTTTCTGACCTTGAAAGGACTGCAACCTGAACTCTGGATTATCAAACTTACCTACCATTCCCAGTCCTTATAGTTTAGAATTAGCAATTCTTGATAAGACATTAGCAAACTTTAATTAAACTCAAACAAGGTTAACCCATGAGACAGAGAGACATTCTATCCACGTGCGAAGCTGCCTAGAAGTCACCTGTGTCCTCGGTATGGGAGATCAGGCCATGGTGAGGCTGTTCTCTTTCTTAGCTACTTCCTTGAGGCAGCCCTGAGCACACTGATTACAAATGGCACAATCTAGGCAAGGTGGATAGCTGAGCAGGTAAAGGTGTTTGCTCCCAAGCCTAACAAACTGAGTTTAATTCGTGAGCCCCACATGGTGGAGAGAACTGGCTCCCTCAAGCTGTCCTCTGACCTCCACACATGCACTGTGGCACACACACACACACACACACACACACACACACACACACACACACACACTAAATAAATAAATAGATAGATAGATAGATAGATAGATAGATAGATAGATAGATAGATAGATAGATAGATAAATGGAAATTCAATAAAAAATTGAAAGGCTCAATCTTATTTTGCTATGACTGTCATGAATAGTCTTCACCACACAGGACAAAATCAGGAATTTTATGATTTATACCATAGTAGTGGTTTTAATATTTTCAGGTTAAGTCTGAAATACACTAGCAAAATGACTCATTTTATTGGTCAAGATTTTTTATGTTGACAAATTATAAAATTGTCTATCATTAACTCAGATAAAAATATGTATGTGAAGGATAGATCTGCTTCTGTCACATCAACACTAGATAACTTAAATTTGTTTTTTGTAACTACTAAAAATAATTCACACTACAAATATTGATGTTCAACCAAAATTTCTAAGGCACACCTTATTTTTCACATTAAAAATATGGTTTTGGAAATACCAAGTTTCAAGTATATAAACACAAAAAGCTTAAAATACTGTTCCATAAAGTTTAGCCAGTCTTCGCTTTCCTCACTCTGTTTGCTTAGCCCAAAAAAAGAAAGGTCAGTTTTCCCCTATTCCCCCCAATTCTCAATTTAGCCTGCATTAATGTTTAGAATGCATGGACAAAAAATGTCTTTCCCAAATGCGGAAGCTACTGCTATTTTTAAGTATTGATTCATCACTGTAATGCCCCCTGAAAAAAATCCAGGTGCTTAATGGCTAACATTGGACTACTGTAACTCTCTCATTCTGCTCCAGATACAGAGAAGTTGTTGCCACACATTTCCAGCAGTGTCAAGTACACAGACAAGAAAACAAGCTGTGCAGCTTCTGGAGAGCCTTGCCTATATGTTCCTCCCAAAGGGGTTTATTCATAAGTCTGTGCAAGAGGGACGGTTCAGGAGTTAACAAGGCATAGTATTCTTTCACCAGTTCAGTTCCCAGCAACCGTGTGGGGGAGGCTCACTGTGCGCACATTCATATTCATTCTCTCTCTCTCTCTCTCTCTCTCTCTCTCTCTCTCTCTCTCTCTCTCTCTCTCACACACACACACACACACACACACACACACACACACACACACACACACAATTATTTAAAAAAAACTCATAATACCTCCTTAATAGTAGATTGGGGAAAAAAATCAAAAAATACAGACCTGTCCTTAAATCTTGTCATATGTTTGCTGGATGTTTTGCCTGTGTTTTGATTTCTCTTCCCTGGTTCTGAAATAATAATGCTTCTTAAAGGGTGCATGTAAAAGTTGAATGAAATAACATATGTTAAGTAGCTACCTAAACAAAAATTTATTAATATGAGTCTCCTGTATTCTCTTCCCTATTTATGGATAATTGAACTTTAATGTATTTAAATGAAAATTATTTAAGAGGTAAGTTTGTAATAAATGTTTACTACTTCAAATGTCAATTTTCTTTACTCTCCACTCCTTCCATTGTTAAATGAGTGACATTCTTTATATGAAATAATGCCCACAGGAAAGAACTCATGCCTGGTACTGGAAACCTGGCCAAAATCCTTTGGCATAGGAAGTCATAGCCCTGCTACTATTATTTTGCTAAAGGGGCATACTATCAAACTGCCTTTTAAATGCTTGCCATTTGTTTGTATTAGTGAAGCTCTCAGTCCTCATTGAGAAGCTCTTTATGCTGGCTGGGGACAGTAGCTGATACAGAGACTCACAACTGGTCAAAAAGTAGGCAATGAGTGAGTGTGGACTATGGAGTCCTCAACCCTGAATGGAACATCTCTATTACCTGTCCTTCCCCCAAAAGTTCAGGGAACATCTGGGAAGAGGGGGCAGAAAGACTGCAAGAGTCAAAGGTCAAGAAAGAGTACTATAAAATAATGTCTCATGCACCTGACCAGGCTATTGCAATTATGAACTCACAGTAGCTATCGTTGCCTGCACGAGATCTCCAAGACTTGTACAAGATCACACCAATAAACACCTAAGCATGGAGAGGGAAGGGGCTCATGAAGTTCCATCCCTAGCTGAGAACTATGGGCAGTTGGTGGTCATTGGTGAAAGGAGAGTCAGTTTTTTTCAGGACTGTGACCCATGGAAGGTTGCCCATGCTCCAGCCCTACATCTCTGTGCACATGATCACTGGACTTAGTGATTCATAAAAAGAGAGTGTGTAGCTAGAGTTTTCCTGCCTGGCCCACAGTCTGGACAAATCTCTCACCCGCCAGTCCCAAGCCGCTCAAACCCGATCAAGTAAACACAGAGACTTATATTGGTTACAAACTGTATGGCCGTGGCAGGCTTTTTGTTAACTGTTCTTACAGCTTAAATTAATCCATTTCTATTAATCTATACCTTGCCACGTGGCTTGTGGCTTACCGGTACTTTACATCTTCCTTATCCTGATGGCGGCTGACAGTGTCTCTTCCCTGAGCCTTCCACTTCCCAGCTCTATTCTCCTCCTTGTCCCGCCTATACTTTCTGCCTGGCCACGGGCCAATCAGTGATTTATTTATTGACCAATCAGCAACACATTTGACATAAAGACCATCCCACAGTACTTCCCCTTTTCTTTTCTTAAAAAGGAAGGTTTTAACCTTTACACATCTCCAAAGTCAACTTGGTATATTTGGGAATTTGGGCGTAGCTTCTCTTACTACTTCCTGCTGGAGGGGGGCGCTGTATCTTATGGGGACATAAAGAATATTTTAGGATTATGGAGTAGTCCATGAGGTTGTATCGTCTGAGCCAGTTGCTTTGAAACGGTTCTGGATGTTGGATCATCTGGGCCATGGTGTCATCGGAGACCTTTCAGGGGGTCTTGGCTGGTCAAACCTGATGTGTCTTAATCTGGAACAAATCCATAGCCTCTGGCTTTCTGTGAGAACAAAAGCAGAATCTCCTTTCCAAAGCAACATATCCTTATATCCAAATTTTGAAGTCAAGGTACCTTTAAAATATACATTTTGGCATAACTTAACAGCTTTTGTAATCAAATGTTTTTCTTTAGTTACAAATATCAAAGAGAACATAATCCAGATTCTTTGTGTGGTAGCCATCTTTACGTGGCTTATTTTTTTATATTAGCTTGAGCCTATTGTTTTGAACTGCAGCCTTCTAAGCCTGAAACGGCGCTGGTGCTGTGGCTGCTGGCTCCGCCCACCTCAGCTTCCCAACATGGCGGCGGTATGCTTACCGCCAGCTCTGGGAGCCATCGTGGGTCTATGCTTTTATCCAAGCAGCTTGTAGCCCAGAAACCTCTTTTTTTGTTTTGTACTAGCAAAGGCTAAATCCACAATGTAGCTTAATGTGGCACTTGCAGAGGCCTCATTCCCGCCATACTGCAGGTCGAGCGCGCACATTAGGAACCCACCAGTAGCTCAAACCGGCAGCTGCCGCTCATTTGAGAGAGACAATTAGGAACTGTTTTTAGCTCCGTTTTAGAATCCTTTTTTTTAGTTTTTAGGTGGAAACTCTTGGCCCCACGTTGGGCGCCATTTGTAGCTAGAGTTTTCCTGCCTGGCCCACAGTCTGGACAAATCTCTCACCCACCAGTCCCAAGCCGCTCAAACCCGATCAAGTAAACACAGAGACTTATATTGGTTACAAACTGTATGGCCATGGCAGGCTTTTTGTTAACTGTTCTTACAGCTTAAATTAATCCATTTCTATTAATCTATACCTTGCCACATGGCTTGTGGCTTACCGGTACTTTACATCTTCCTTATCCTGATGGCGGCTGACAGTGTCTCTTCCCTGAGCCTTCCACTTCCCAGCTCTATTCTCCTCCTTGTCCCGCCTATACTTTCTGCCTGGCCACGGGCCAATCAGTGATTTATTTATTGACCAATCAGCAACACATTTGACATAAAGACCATCCCACAGTAAGAGTGAAAGAAGAAGACAGGAAATTGGGAGAGAGAGAGTCCAGGAGGAGTTAAAGGAGAGGAGTAAGTGGAGCCACAGACTGAAACTTCTTAAACCATTAGCAAAGTAAACCTTCCCAATATTGATGAGGACACGAAAAGATGGAAAGACTTCTCATGTTCATACATCAGCAGAATTAATACTGTAAAAATGGTGATATTACTAAAAAGCAATCTACAGATTCAGTACTATCCCCATTACCACTCTAAACACATTTTTCACAGAAATTAAATCAATTCTAAAATATATCTGGAAATACAAAAGTCCTTGAATAGCCAAAGTTATCCTGAGGAGGATAAAAGTGATACTGGAGGCATCACAATTCCTGAATTCAAATTATATTCCACAGCCACAGTAATAAAACCAGCATGGCACTATCCCAAAAGCAGACACACAAACTGCAATCATCTACTTCTTGACAAAGATGTAAAAAACATACATCGGAGCCGGGCGGTGGTGGCGCACGCCTTTAATCCCAGCACTCGGGAGGCAGAGCCAGGCGGATCTCTGTGAGTTCGAGGCCAGCCTGGGCTACCAAGTGAGTTCCAGGAAAAGGCGCAAAGCTACACAGAGAAACCCTGTCTCGAAAAACCAAAAAAAAAAAAAAAAAAACACAACAAAAACATACATCGGAGAAAAGAGTCCTCGTCAACAAATGGTACTGGCCAAACTAACTACCCATATGTGAAATAAGTGAAATTCCAAAAGTCAATTCAATATGGATTAGAGACATTAATGTCAGACCTAAATAAGTAGAGGAAAGCAGACGGAAACACTGCAAGATATAGGCACAGGCGACAACTTCGTGAACAGGATGGCAGCTCAGGCTCCAAGAGTTAGGAGCTGACAAATGAGACTCCATCACACTCAGTACGCCCAGGAACAAGGACTATATGTATGCAATCCTATATGTGCAGAGACAGCATATAGGATGGGAGAATACTTTCCATCTACTCATCTAACCGTAATTTAACATGCAGAATATATGAAGAACTCAAAAATGTTCAATTCCTAAAGAATAAGCTATCCAGTTTGTCAACTGGCAAACGAGTTGAACAAAGAGCGCTGAATTCAGTACAAATGGCCAATAAATACAGGAAAAACTCTTCAGCCTCCTTAGCCATCAACAGGACACAAGTTAAAACTGCACCTAGACTCCTTTTTACCCTCGTCAGGGTGGCTACCACAACAAAGGACGATACATGGTACCTAGCATGGAGAACAGGTATAAACTGGCACAGTCATTATTCCAAGGACATCAGTGTAGAGGCTGTAATACAAGTACTGTACCACTCCTGTGTATATACCCACAAAATTCTAAGTCAGCACACCACAGAGATATCTGTACATCCATGTTTACTCCAACAGAAATCACAACAGCCATATTCTAGAAAATGCCCCGGTGCACATCAATAAATTTAGAAGAAAATGTATACTTATACAAATTTTATGTGGCCACAAGAATGAGCTAATGGCATGTTCAAGAAGTGAATGAAAATGTAGACGATCGTGTAAAACATATAAGCCATATTCAGACTAATATCAGACGTGATACTAATATGATCAAAAAAGAATTTTAGATACATGTATGGAACTGGCATAATGAACCCAGTATTCTGTGCAAGTAACATATGCTAACAAAAACAAGTGGAAAAGTAAGTATAGCTTTCTTCTTTGTAGGTTGATTTAGCTCAGGTTATTTCTCAGTGACAGAAAGCAGACCAGCCTAAATTAGGCAAAGATTTTACTACAGGGCTACAAAAATCATGACTCTTGAAAAAGCAAACAAACAGTCAAAATATTTTGGTGTGACAAAGACACTACCAGGAGAATGGAAAGGTAAACACAAATACACATCTGCTACCGAGTTCTGCAGCCAGAATCTAAAGAACAATTACACATTGGCTTCACTGGCAGCCTAACTGTTTGTAATGGGCAAAAATCTAAATACTGAAAGACAGAATGCCTAAGTACATGAAAAGAAGCTAAAAATCATTAGCTATTAGGTACATGCAAATTAGCCCAATGCGATAATTCTTTATGCAGTCTCCTCA